CTGAGGAGACCAGGTGTTGGAGGTTTTACAGGACCTGAGGAGACCAGATGTTGGAGGTTTTACAGGACCTGAGGAGACCAGGTGTTGGGAGGTTTTACAGGACCTGAGGAGACCAGGTTCTGGAGGTTTTACAGGACCTGAGGAGACCAGGTTCTGGAGGTTTTACAGGACCTGAGGAGACCAGGTGTTGGAGGTTTTGGAGAGGATGTTGCCCCATTCTGGTCTGGTGGAGGATTCTAGCGGTTCAACAGTACTGGATCTTTGCTGCATCTTTCATGGTATGATGCACCAAAAGTTTTCAGTTGTTGAGAGTTCTGGACTGCAGTCCGGTCAGTTCAGCACCTGGACTCTTTCTGTAGGCCATGCTGCTGTAATGATGCAGGATGCAGTTTGTGCGTCTTGCTGAAAGGCCTTCACCAAGAAAAAGATGTCTGGATGGGAGCAGATGTTTTTCTAAAACGTATAAATGCATTGATGGAGCTTTTCCAGATGTGTAAGTTGCCCATGCCATAGGCACCAGTGCATACCCATACCATCAGAGAGGCGGGCTTTAGGGCTGAGCGTTGAGAACAGCTTGGATGGTCCCACTCCTCTTGAGTATGAGGGATGTGGCATTCATGGTTTCTAAAAACAATTTTAGATTTGGATCGATCTGACCTCAGAACAGTTCTGGACTTCACCTCAGTCCATTTGAAATGAGCTCTGCATCTGGTCCAGAGAAGATGGCAGCGGTTCTGGATGGTGTTCACATTTGGCTCCTCCTTGGCCTGACAGAGGCCATGCTATGTGTATAGCACGGTGACCTGTTGGAAGTGTGGAACTGTTCCTGAGCCCAGAACAGAATCAGACCTGGTTTTGATGTAGAGGCCCTTGAGGGTGTAAAGATCACGACCATCTAGTTTTGACCTTCAGCCTCGTCCTTTGACCTCAGAGATTTCTACAGATTCTTAAAATCTCTTGACGATATAAAATGCAGATGATGGTAGATTCAAACTCGTTTTAATTTTAAACTGAGGAATAAAAATCTGATTTGTTTTAATATTTTGAAACATCCTGGCAAACCTCTGCCCATTTTTACTTCTGAGACTCAGCCTCTCTAAAACGCCCTTTTCATACCCAGTCTTGTCCTGTTGCCAGTTAACCTTCTTAGCTGCAAACTGCTCCTTCAGCTGTTTTGTATTAGTACCACTTACACTTTTGTTGTCTCTGTCTTACATTTTTTAGATGTGTTAATGCCATAAAGTTTTAAATGCCCTTATTTTCCCCAGAAACTGTACAATGTCTTAGTTTAAGCACGTGATATGCTTATTATGTTCCACTGTGAATAAAATAAGTGTACTGTACGTGACATTTGGAAACATTGCATTCTGTTTATTGATGTTTTAGTGAAGGTAAAATAACTTGAGGTTGTAAAGAACTGTCAGTAAACCTGAATTCATCTGAGTGAAACAGGTCATATTCACAAGAAGTTGGGTGGAACACAACAACATGTAAAAATGTAAACAATGTACCAATTACAACAAACAAAACTCTGTAAAGTTTTTATTTGAGTCTGTTTGGTTACACTCTTAAATGGTTTAAATTCTACTTATTTGATAGATTTCAGTTTGTAAATGTAAATAACTACCAGTAATCTTCTTCATATACCAGTTGCTCATGGAGTTCCTCAGGGTTTAGTGCTTGGAACAATACTCTTTACTTTCCACAAATCATTGCTAGTGGAAAAGCCTTGGAACCGTGTAGAGCCAAGTCAACCGTGCCATAGAGGCACTGGTGGAAAAGGTGCATTATACTGTACATGCTCCCATTAGGTAAAGTTATTAAACAGCATGGGATACATTTTCATTGTTATGCTGATGATGCACAGTTTTATTTGTCCATTAAACCCAATGAATCCAATCAGCTACTTAGACTACAAGCATGTCTTAAAGACATAAAAACCTGGATGACCCTAATTTTTCTGCTTTTAAACTTGGACAAGACTGAGGTTTTGATTTTTGGACCTGAACATTTTAGGAATGAATTTGGGAGTCTTTCATTTTCTCTGGATGGCATTACAGTAATCTGTCCTCCAGTTCTAATATTAAAAATGTTGGTGTTATTTTTGATCAGGACACGTCTTTTATCTCCACATTAAAAACTTTACTAGAACCACCTTCTTCCACTTTGTAATATCACTAAAATTAGAAACATCTAAAAATGATGCAGAAAAACTGGTCCGAGCATTTGTCACATCTAGGCTGAACACAAACATGGCGGAGCTGTCAGGAAAATCCAACATGGAATTTAAAAACACTCGCATATAAGAAAAAGCAGAATTGCCGTCCTGAGCAGTCAGAAGCATTTCACTGTAAATCTGAAATAAAATCGTTAAAAACAGGTTTGTGTTAAGTCAACGTTTTGCAGCTGGAGCCATTTTTCCCTCGTCAGACACGAGCTGCGGTGAATCTGCGGAGGCCTTCGTGTTTCGTTTCTTTTTCAGCCGATGAGCTTCTGAAGCGGCTGAAAGTGAAGGACTCCTGTTGTCTCCTGCAGGGAGGGGGCCAGTGTTCCTGCAGGGGGTTCGTGTCTGGACGGGGGAGTTTGGTGCACACCGACTCAAACTTTCAGCTGCAGGCTCTATCTTGAAGTTCTGCAATCCTTCTGCTCGATCGGAGGATCTATCTTCACCTCCATCCGTGGCTGAAGCTCCACACTCGACTCTGGGCAGCACCGCTGGTGTCTGGGCGGGTGGAGACATCACTGCAGGCTTTTTGTGGATGTCCTCGTCAGTTGTTGTGGAGGTCAGCTTCAGGCTTGTGACCTGCTCTCCCTGCAGCATCGTCAGGGAGAAGCAGTGCCGCTGCAGCAGCCTCGGGCCTGGCCTCCTCAGGTCCACGCAGCTGAGACTCCGAGCAGCGCCTCCACCTGCAGCTCGAGCTTCTGCCGAGCTAAAGCAGTTTTTTGTGTGTGTGAGTGATGGGAGGCTGCAGGGCAGGTGTTTGGAATTGTTCTGAGGGGAGGAGGAGGCGAGGAGCAGGGGGAGGACGGGGAACTGTGGGGACGGGACGTGGCTGGACTCAAACCCAGAAGACCTGCTCATGGGTTCAGCTGCCTTTTTGTCCCTTCCTGAAATAAACAAGTGAAGTGTGTGTGGATGCATGTGGCAGCTGAGTCACACATTTTTACTTAAAGGGATAGTTCACATTTTTTATGAAGGGTTCAGGGTGAAGATTATGAACGATTAATATCTTACCTGTTGAAGAAAGCTTCTGAACAACCTCGGTTTGAAGAACTAGAGTTCTGAGCAGATTGATGAGCTAACAGCTATTTAATCAACATTTTTGTTCTTCATTTTACAGTTATAGTTGGGCCTGTCGTGATAAGCAATCAATCAATCGCATCATAAATGAAAATTATCGACCTCTAAGCTAACAGGCCGACCCCGAAAAAACCTCCATCTTGTCAAAGCTACAAAATTCACGGTTGAAACTCGTGCCTTGGTGTAAAAAGTTTTTTCTCTGCAAAAAGAGCTGTTAGCTCAGACTAGCTGTCAGCTCAGATTAGCTGTCAGCTCAGATTAGCAGTTAGCTCATCAGTCCAGTCAGACATGTACTCTATTTTTCCAGCTGAGGTTGTTTAAAGAGCCACCAACAAAAGGTAAGATTTTATTTGCGCACAGAACCCTTTGTAAAAACATTTGAACTATCCCTTTAAACAGTGCACGTTAAAGTGTTGAAAAAAGATGACCAAGAGATGAGCAGGTTAAAAAACACATAAGCTGTGATGAATAATTGACCAAAGCAAAGTATTAAAGCATGGAGCTGTTTATTCGTCGAGCTGTCGGAACAAACTCCCAGCCTGCAGCCGCTGCCGGACGAGGCTGAAACGTTCCCTTTAGTGCATTTATCTCCATAAAATGCCATCAGTTATTAAAACAAGTATACTTTATGTAAATATTTTCAATCTTCTGCTTTATGCAGCTTTCAGGCACGTGAAAAATATTGTGCAACATTATATTTTACTAAACTAAAACTTCTACACACAAAGAAAAAGTGATGAGCTGACAGCGTGACGTTCAGAGTCTGAACCACCAAAGCTTCAGAGCTGCGAACAAACCAAGCGCTCACATTTAATGTGCACTGAAATGAACACGGAGCTTTAAAAATAAAAATCAAGCTAGAGGTCGGTTCAACTTAGAGCACACAGTGGTTCAACCTTCACCGCTTATAGCAAAAGCAAAAAATAAAATAAAACACCACGAGTCAAACTGCAGATGTGTTTGAACTCACTTCAACCTGTAGTCCCGTAAAAACAAAAAGTTGTTGTCTCCATTTTTATTCATGCTGTTAAAAACAACCCTAATTCTGAAAAAGTTGGATGTGTGTCAAATATACAGTAAAAAACAATAAAAATAATAATCTAATAATTTACAAATCTCATAAACCCGTGTTTTATTCACAGTGGGACAAAGTATCAAATGTTTACCATTGTTAGGAATAAATGGGTACTTTTAAATTTGATGGCAGCAACACAACTTAAAACCGTGTTGGGGACAACAAGAGGCTTCAAAGATGTACAAATACAAAAACATCTGGTGAAGCATTTTATAACTAATTAGATTAATTGACAACGGGTCAGTCAGAGGACTGAGTGTAAAAACAGATGGGCAGAGGTTCAGCAGTCTGAAAAACTGTCGAAAGACTTGAAGAATGTGGAAAAATCTCTGAGCTCACAGGACGAGACTGAACGGTTGTTGTGGAGGTGTGATCTTCCACTGCATTTAAACCTGGTCTGGTTCTGCTCGGGGCTCAGGAACACTTCCACAAATCCATAGATGCTGATTAAAGCTCTATCAGGCAAAGAAAAAGCCAGATGTGAACACCATCCAGAAGTGCTGAGCTGTTGAAACATTAAATGTTTTCTGGTCAGTCAAATTTAAATGTAAAGTTTTTTTTGAAACCACAGAAACTTCGCTCCTCCGTACTAAACAGTGAACGGACTGCACAGCTCCTCTCTGCCTAATGAAGACACTCCGCACCCTCATTTACCTTCAGCACACACACATTCACACAGCACTCTACTACATCTCTACAAAGACTAATCAGAGCTTGAGATCATGCACTGATGGGACACACATCAGAGGCAGTGAGGGGTTCAGTGTCTTGCCCAAGGACACTTCAGCATGTGACTACTGGGGGAATCGAACCCCCAACTGTCCCATTGGAGGGTGACCACTTTAACCACTCAGCCACAGCTGCCTCTTAAGAGGTGAGAGGCATGTTATCAACGCACAGTTCAAAAGCCTGCCTCTCTGATGGTATGGGGGTGCATTAGTGCCTCTGGCAGCTTCCTCATCTGGAAAGGCTCCATTAAGGGAGAAAAGTGTTTTCAGGGTTTTAGAGCAAATGTTCCAATCTAGACGACGTCTGTTTTTAGTGAAGGTCTTTCATATTTCAGTAAGATCATTTCCTGCATCCACTCCAGCAGCAGGACATGACGTTTTGTTTTATATCACTACTTTTATTTACTTTTCATGTTATATGCTTTTTCTGATGGTTTATTGTTGTCTGTACCTCTTCTGTGTTTTTGTCTAAAACAGGTCCCTCTGTGACTCAATGAGACCAACCTGCAGAAATAAAGGTTGAATGAGTGAATGGCTTCAATCAGGAGCAGAATCCTCCAACACCTGGTCTGCTCAGGTCCTGGACGTTCACAGTCTGTTGTTAAACCAGCGGGGCGTCTCACAGAACATGGACCTGTCCCAGTTTCTTGACATGCACTGCTGTCATCCAACTAAAAATGACCACTTTATTTTTATATTGAACAGATGCTTTTGTTTTAAACATGTGATATGTTTATTAAGTTCCTCTGGGGTCAGATCTGGGTTTATGAGGTTTGTAGATCATTGCATCCTGTTTATATTTACATGTTGAATTATTATTATTTGTGTAATTAATTTTTGCACATAGAAGCAAATTTTGTTGACTCCTGAAGGTCAAAGTGAGCCAGCGATGCAGAAACAGAAAAGGTACGCTCGTGTTTGTGTGAAAACAAAACAGCAGGAGATGCAAACGTCATGAAGTTGTTCCAGCAGAAGATGAAGCTGAAGATGGTCTGGAAGAAGAAGAGTCTTTGTGCAGGCGAGGCAGAGGAGGGATGAAGAAGAGGACAGTGCTCACAGGCGTGTCAGGCTGTCATTACCGCTCTCCAGGTTCTCGCTGCTCTCGTAGCATCCCGAGTCCCGCGGGGAATCGCCCAGGACCCCCCGCCTGTCCAGCAGGAGCTTCTCCTGAGAGCCTCCAGCCGGGCCGCCTCGCTCGGGGTCGCTGCTTCCTGCAACCAACAGGGAGTCAAACGTGATCTGAAGGCTTTTATTTCTAAAAGTTAGTTATAGATGAACGTCCAGTGATTATTTCCTGAATGTTTCATTAACTATGCTTTTTGTTAGAGCTCTGGATGTGTGTGCAGGTGATGCTCAGCTACTACCACATGGAGCTCTAGGTCAATATCTGTAAAAATGACTGAGTTAGAGCCACTGTTTTGTTTCTTTTAAGGTCAGGTGGCTGTGGCAGCCATCACCAAGTCTGTCCAGCCTGGAACCTTGCACACTGAGCTGCTGATCTGTTCAGCTGATGTTTGTGTGTTCAGCTGATATTTGTGTGTTCGGCTGATATTTGTTTGTTCAGCTGATATTTGTGTGTTCAGCTGATATTTGTTTGTTCAGCTGATATTTGTTTGTTCAGCT